TGCTCACACATTTCACTGTTTCTCCTCTGTTTCTGAAGCAGAACCGGTTCATTTCTCACAAAAGAAGAACTAGATTAAAAATATTGTCAAGACAAACGTTATGTTTCTTGAGAATCAGTTTAAAAAGCCTGAAGTTTGAAGTCGTTTTAAATTTGAATTGCTTTTAAAAGCTTGAAGTTTGAACTCCTGAAATTTTATTATTTTTTTATTTTCAGTAAAATCAATGTAATATATTTTTGTTTGATAATATTTTTTCTTTTTTAATTTTGTATTTTGAGAGAATTTCATGGCACTAATTAATATTTACACAAGAATAATGATCACTTTTTTTCCCATCGAAAATTCTTTTTTTTTCCTAATATTTTTTTATCTCAACTAAAGCATCTCTGCTCACACATTTTTATTTTCAGTAAAATCAGTGTAATATATTTTTGTTCAATAATATTTTTTCGTTTTTTATTTTGCGTTTTGAGAGAATTTCATGATACTAATTAATATTTATGCCAAAATAATGATACATTTTTTCCCATCGAAAATAATAATTTTTTTTTCTAATATTTTCATCTCATCTAAAGCAGATCTGTTCACACATTTCACTTCTTCTCCTCTGTTTCTGAAGCAGAACCAGTTCATTTCTCACAAAAGAAGAACTAGATTAAAATGATTGTCAAGACAAACGTTATGTTGCTTGAGAATCAGTTTTAAAAAGTGTGAAGTTTGAAGTCGTTTTAAATTTGAATCGCTTTTAAAAGCTTGAAGTTTGAACTCCTGAAATTTAATTTTTTTAATTTTCTGTAAGATGAATGTAACATATTTTTGTTTGATAATATTTTTTCTTTTTTAATTTGTATTTTGAAAGAATTTCATGGTACTAATTCATATTTATGGATTAGTTATGATCACTTTTTTCCCCAGTGAAAATAATAACAAATTTTCCTAATATTTTCATCTCAACTAAAGCATCTCTGCTCACACATTTTTATTGTCAGTAAAATCAATGTAATATATTTTTGTTCAATAATATTTTTCCTTTTTTAATTTTGTATTTTGAAAGAATTTCATGGTACTAATTAATATTTATGCTATAATTATGATACATTTTTTTCCCACCGAAAATAAGACATTTTTTTCCTAATATGTTCATCTCATCTGAAGCAGATCTGTTCACACATTTCACTTTTTCTCCTCTGTTTCTGAAGTAAGAACCAGTTCATTTCTTACAAAAGGACCACTAGGAAGTTGATAGGATGTTCTGGGTGATTGCTCAGTGGTTGCTAGGGTGTTGCTATGTAGTTGTTCGGTCTTAGCATGTTTGCTTGCTTGTTTCTAGCACCTTTCAGCATGTTGCTCACATCATTTAACACAGTGCTATTCTGTTCTAGCAAGCCTTAGCACACTGTTAGCATCTTTTAGCATATCGCTAACATGTGCTAGGCTAGTTTCAGGCTTTAATCTTCATCAGAGCAGTAAATGGCTCAGACTGTGTTGAAGCAGTGAGTCACACTGAATGTTTTTGTCTGTTCGTTGCAGGAGTGAATCACAAAGTGTCTCGTCTCTACAGAAGAACAGCCTGTGTGTGTTTACAAGCTTGTTTTTAAGCATGTTTTAGCCTTTTGTTTGCATCTTTATAACATTTTTAGCATGCTGCTAGCATGATTTAACACATTGCTAGCCTTTTTTTGTTGTTGCATGATTTAGCACATGGTTAGCATCTTTAAGCATATAGCTAACATGTCCTAGGCTAATCTTTAGGCTTTGCTAGTGATCGAGTGAAGGATTCTGGGAGTTTAGATGTGAATTTTGACAATTGGAGTTTGAATAGTCCACTGATTCATTGCACCTTTCATGACACTTTAATGTGCAACTCTCTAACCAGAACGTTCTTGTAACGTATAGCTTCAAGGCCTATAATACTATATAATATAATATAATATAATATACAAGTTCATAAACATGTTTTTCAAGTCAAATCTTTTGTGTCCACCCCAGATGCCTCTAAAAATAAAACATCTTATGTGTAAAAAATGACAATGTATATGTATAAAAAATACTTTGCAACCACTATCATAAATTGAGTAAAATATTACAAACTTGTAAAAGGTCAGAGAAGCATATTCATGAATATTCATTCATTCATTTATTTGTTATTGTGTGAAAATACACAGATTATTGAATTTCTAGTATCATACAGTAGTGCTCACCTCCAGTCTGATTAAAGCGATCTTTGGCAACATTGATGTTGCTCATGAAGTTTTGTTCAGCCCCAATTGAGATCTGTGTGTTCCTCTCCCAGTAGTCTTCTTCCACAGATTTAGCCATCCACTCCTGCCTGGGAGTCTCTCTGCGAATGTTGCTGTCATAGTATGTGAAAGGCTGTTCATCTACAAGCCCTACCGTCACAAACTTCGGAAAATTTGGTAAACCTGATGTTGCCGTATAGAAGTACTGCAGGGAATGTTTCCCTGAAAGAAGAAAAGAAACAGAAAACCTCAATGCCTCAATAATGACAACAATAATTGAGATTCCTTCACCCTCTATCATCGAATAAGAATTTGGTAAAGACATTTTGCAGATCTGATGGCAGATTTAGCCTACATTTATTTTATAAAAGTACGATTTTTTTTCTGTGAACTGCCCGATGCAATTCAAAGAGTTATTATTAGCCCACACTGCCCTCTAATGTCAACAGCAAAAATATACTCTGGAGTAACATTATAATCGTAACCTCAATAAGTTACTCAGTTACAGTTTCTCTAGGCTCAGCCTCAGACTGAAGGTCTGGCTTCAAGAGACTACAGTTTCTTTCAGTTGCTGTGGTACACTTCTCAGATCACTATTGAAATTCTCAAAACTGCTTGTTCAAGCTCTGCATCTTCTATAATGACTTGTGCAGATCAGAAAAGCAAATTCTCATTCCTCATTCCTGAACAAAGTGCCAATGCTTTGGTACATTCATGCAGTTATGTAAAATTGTCTGCTGTTTCCTGTATCCTGTTAAACATAATATATTACACTGCTTTCCTTTGTTGAATAGTCTTACCCCCCACAACATCTAGTTCATTGCATAATTTAATAAATGCCAAATGGATTAACCAGTTGCCTTTATTGTCAAGCATATTTTCTAAAAATGTTTATTCTTTTGTGTGTGTGTGTGTGAAAATAATTGATAAATTCCTTGCAGGCTAATCTTGACTTTCAGTAATAAAGTGGAATGCGTTCGAATCGATACAACATTCTAAAAACGAAGTATTTTGAGAAAGTTACAGGCCTTTTGCAGGTAATATTCATGTTGTGGTGCTGTTTGTACAAATTGTTTTGAGAAATGGACTTACTGGTTTGAAAACGTTAAGAATTATTTGAGAAATGTACCAAATCGACTGAGAAAAACTATAAAGGTTTTAAAGAACAAAAGAACAATTAAAGAACAAAAGAACAATTATTGTACCGTACCCCATGACTCAACTAATTTAGAATGATCCTTACTGCGAAACATACCAAAAAAAGAATTTAAAATATTTTACATTTTTCAAATGTATTTTATGTATTTATAATGTTTAGATATGTATTAAAATGAATATCAAAATACTAGAAATATGCCATTATCATTAAATAATAATAATAATTTTACATAGGCCTATTTTACATTACATAAATTATTTAAAAGGACAAACAAATGCATATGAATTTTAATAATAATAATAGTATCTGTGCATATCGTTTGTAAACCTGAACATTAATCGTGTATAAAACATTACGTGATAATGAAATCTTACCAGCTCTTGCACTACACATGAAAAAGAAAAGAAACAACAAGATATGCATGTCTAAAATATTATCCGCCTTCATTTAAGAAGTGTAGGATCCGAGCTCGCAAACTGAAAGATTTTAGAAACTCAAGTGCGATGCATTTTAGGCAATGGTGTCCACGCCTACAGCGGACTAGCCTACGTTAACAAATTATGGCCAACAGAACTTGAAATTACCTCTACTCATTATTCTCTAGGATGCATGTACTAAAACATGTTCATCAGACAAGTTGTGAGTAATCAGTTGTTTATAAATAGGCTTACATTACTTTAGCTCTCTAAGTATAGGCACAGCATTTACAAAACGAACATACGTAGGCAAAAAAAAAAGTTAAGGATGCATTTAAAATTATTCTGGGCTATTCTAGGCTATTTAATCTTCAAGTTACAAATGTTCACAACTGATATGTTGTTACTCAAATCCACATTCAAGTCAAATCAGGTCAGTTCCCCCCCCTGAAATGCCATATGTTTCATCATTAGGCAGCAGGCTGTATTATTAATCCAAT